CTGGCTAGCTAGCTGGTATGGCAAGGCTAGCATCGCTGGCGCACTAGGCGTGCTAGCATGCTAGAGCCTCACACATAGCAGCACTAGTGTAGCATTGCAAGGTCAGTTGCAGCACGTAAGTGCTGGGCCTCGCTAGCAACGCTATGCGTGCTTGTGCATGCGTGCGTGCTAGCCAAGCAGCAACAGCCGTTGCAACATGTTGTGCATGCTTGCTAGTGTAGCATCATGCCACTGTGTGTGCTAGCACTATGTGCGTGTATGGCTAGCGAGCAAGGCCAGGCACCAGCGCCTAGCAAGTAAGGCCAGGCACCAGCGCCTAACAAGCATGGCATGCGTACTGCGGGTGTGCGTAGGCTGGTTTTAATTGGTCGGGTCCCGACTAACTATCGGGATTTAGACCGTTCGGGTCGGGTTCGTGGGTACGAGCCGTTGGAGGCGGTCACGATTGTGACGCTCGAGCTTTCGAAGTAAGAGCTCGATTTGCAAGCGAAGCACGCGTCGAGGGTAAGAATGTATTTTCTCTTTCTCTCTTTATGTTGTTAATTATGTGATTAAATATTTAGTTGCTTTAATTAGTGAGCGGGTCTTGGACGTTACGAAACCCAACAACCGCCACTCCTCTAAGGCTAGAGGGATCGTCTCCTCGATAGGGCCATGAACCCCCTAATAGCGGATGGACAGGCGTGGGAGCTCGAAATCCTCATGCTCCTCCTTCTCCAGTAAAACGAACCAACACTGAAACACTGTTGGGCGCTATAGAAAAAGATGAAATGATCGACAAATATTTACAAATCTCCTCACAATAAGGTGGACGAGCTAGCCAAGGAAGCAGCTCCTCGTCATAAGAGCAGTCCGGGTAGATGTGCCTCCGCCAATCCTCACCTATGGCACTATTCATAGCATGCAGCCGGAGTATCTCCTGACTCACCATCTGAGAAGAAGGTTCCACAGGGACCAGAGGAACCTCTGAGGAGTGCTGAATAGCTACTCTCTCACCAAGTTACCACACCACCTAGTAAGTACCCCTAGAAAAAACGTCTTTCAGCTGTGTTATGAAAGGCCAGACGAAAATCGCCCAAATTAGACCATGGACGATATCGAACCTTAAGGTGCTGCAATAAAAGGTGTAAGTCAGGAACTCATGACAAAACCTAGAGAATCGACAAATAAGGAATGTCCTTACGTCCAGAATAGCAGCCCTAAAAGCAGCCGTAGAAGTCAGACTAGCAGGGCGGTCCTACCGGTCCTGCCAGCTAGCACCTATAAGGAGTCCTCTTGCCCGAAGCCTCGCCGGAGCCAGCGAAGGAATGTACTCGTATAGCCAAACCTGTGAAAAGCTCAAGAGATCAAAGAATCAATAAACATCGAGACTTGAACTAACAAAAAAAATCAAAAGATTAGAGGAAGATATACATCTACGACCTTCCAAAGGCTGAAAACTGAGATCTCTATCCTACAATGCCACTAGCGACATCCCTTCCGCATCCCAGGAGAAGGTCAGCATAGCCAATGTTGTCCCAGACATATATGTCGACCCGCTGAAGGTCGCGCAACGCAGGTAGATAGCACAGCTCCCCTTGTCAAGATAGATGGTCCCTAACAGGAGAATGAGGACGAAAATGCAAACCCGCTGCTCAGTGTAGTCGCATCGTCCATTAAACCATCTGCCAGTAGTGCATTACGGATCGTCCTCGGACTCGAGGCCTTATCCCTAGCCTCGATAGCAGCCTTAGAAGCTTTGTAGTATTTGGAGAAGCCAGAGTATACAGCTCGTCCGCGGGAACTCGAGCCGGGCAAAACTCGAGTCCACTAATGACAGAGAAGTCGAGTGGGGTGATAGTCATCTCACCCCACGGAAAATAAAAAATGTTTGTGGTGACCTAGAACTCTAGGGCACCCCGAACGATGAAACGACTCTCTCGGAAAGACTAGAAGCCTCGAAAAAGGGGAGTCAACCCACATGACTCCCAAAAAACTCTCACCACCTCGTTCCCAACGATGTGTTGGCGGTACATAGAAAGAATGGTGTCGTTGCCCGAACCGTGACAACGCACGTGCTCCTCAGTAAAGCCCAGAAAAACACGCTAGAAGATGTGGTGATCCGGCAGAAAAGCCAGGGTGTGCTCATCCCACTAAGGGAGAGACCACGTCCGGCTATTAGAAGCATCGTCTCCATCTCCTACAGGATTGTCTTTTCGGTCAGACTAGCGGGGACGCAAACCAGAGACTCGACGTTGAACCATGCTATTTATTGTTGCCATAAAAACAGAAAATTAAAGGTTCTATAGTATTTAAGTTCGCCTAACCGCAAGATACTATGTTCGTAAAAAAATAAAGTACAAAAATGCAAAACAGAGCATGATTTTGATTCGCACAACCACAAAGATTTTGAGTATCAAAACAATTTCTTGCAAGATTATGACAATTAAAACAACAAATTAAACACAAATAGCGAGAAAAATCGTGTAGAATAAGCCACATTGTACTCACGAACCTAGAGTGTTCCACAATGGTAAAATGCTCGTTTCTTCATCTAATCAAGCGGTTCTAGTCTTAAAATGTTCACAAAGCAACATATAAACACATACAAGCAATTTTATGGCAAGAATTTCGACCAAGATTGACCAAACAACAAAATGTATATTCAGATTTTCAGAAAATTTGCAAAGAAAACGCTCGAAATTCATCCAAATTAAGAAGGGATTGAGCAAAACTTACATAGACCGATGGTAGGTGAGTGAAATTGCAACAATTTTGAAACAAATTTAAGCAAATTTGGTTGAGAAACGACCAAGAATGAACACTTTGAAGTTTCGCGACAATGACGAACATAAATGAGCAGCCAAGAAAATGAGGAAGAAGAAAGGTTTAAATTCGCGGAAACGCGAATTCATCGCAGCGCGACAGATCTGTCGCAGCACAATGATCATGTCGCGGCGAAATTAGACCAGTCGCCGCACGAAAGCTCTGATTTTTCCCGCGTCAGTTTTGTGGGGCCCACAATTTGAATTGATGGTCCGCATGTATCCATTTGAGCCTCTTGATACACAATTGAGTCTTTAAGCCTTATGATGATCGATTAAATATTTGATTAGACTGGTAATCAGCCCGATTACAATTTTGATTGATGATCAGCCAGATGACGATCACCTTATCAATTGAGTACGCCTAGGCATTGGCTAAGCACATTTGAGAACGCCTAAGCATTGGCTAAGCACAATTGAGAACGCTTAAGCATTGGCTAAGCACATTTGAGTAACACCTAAGTTTAGTTAAGCACATTTTAGTACACCTAAGCGTTGGTTGAGTCCGCCTAAGCATTGGTGGAGTACATTGATTGAGTAGTGATTGAGCATAATCATAAAGAATTCCTAAGCTAGAAGATTTCAACGAAAATCAATTTGAAGCTCGGTAGGACCTTGAGAGATGAGGTTTTTATGGTAGATTTTCTAAAGATAGAGAGGATACCACTTCCACGAGTTAAGGCGAGAAGGTTTGAAGATGGCTAAGCACTGCGATCTTCGACAACATTCCCTAAGATGTGGAGGTTGTCCCCTTTTGATCTGAAGATGGCTAAGCATTGCGATCTTCGACGACATTCCTTAAGATGTGGAGGTTGTCACTTGAATTTGAAGGTAGTGAAGCACCACGATCTTCGATGGAGCATCCTAAGATGTGGAGTTTGCCAAGAAAAGCAAATTTGATTCAGCAGATTGATGTCACGCCGAGATACGTGTTTCTTAACTCCTTTATTTGTAGAACCGACGTTTTCTGCAGGTATCGACGTTAAAAAGAATGGTTTAGGATCGCAGAACGTTTTGAATCATTCTCCGTCCCTATCGACATACGTTGACATTTTTTTCGAAACTTACGTTTCTTAAAACTCAGTCATAATGGGGGGCTTTTGTAGACACCTGATTGTGTCTTCCCAAAAATAAACCCCAGTGATGAGTACCTTTCATGCCTTTGATTATCGAGTTAGGTGAAGAGTTGAAGAGTCTCGTGAATTTCTTTTAAGCCTTGACCATTTCTAACATTTCCTTTATAAAAATCACATTCATTTCGTGTCAATGAAAATCAATCATTTTGTGTCTACTTTATAAAATCATACAAACCAGTCTATTTTGGTCCATGTTCTCGGTCTTAATATTGTGTAGTTATATAGGGCTTGAAAAGAGCTTTCCAACGATATATTATAAGCCCAAATCCAACTTATAACGAATAAGTTATGGCCAAAATACTAAACCGAGCCTTACCTGTGGCCCAATGATCATGTGGACGGTCCATTAACCTTAATCCCATTCCTAAACCAATTAGGATTTGAAATAAAATTTTAGAATCATCAAGAAAGTTGTTTTCAATTTTAAATCCATTAGGATTTAATATGAGCTGCTAGAATCCTCTAAAAGGTTCCAATTTATCTTGTTTTCGAAAAGATAAAGACTTAAGAATTTTACATCGGATAAAACATCTGTTTCTCAATGATCCTAATCCCGGTCAAAATAGAATATGTTTGGATATTTGGTTAACCCAATCTAATTGGAAATCGGAATCCGTACGCATTCTATCTATTCAAAACCATCGCTGAGCGACAGTACCATCGCTAGGGGTGTACAAAAACTAGACCGGACCTGAAACCGGACCTGAACCGACCTGATCCGGACCGGACCTGACCCGGACCTGTTGATTCAGGTCCGGTCCCGGTCCTTGAAAATCAAGGTTCCCGGTTACAGTCCGGACCCGGTCTAAAACCGGGGGTTTAAGGTCCGGACCTGAAACCCGGTTTTTTTTTTTTTTTTTTTTAAAAAAAAACAAACACAAAATCAGAAACGCTGCTCAATGCTCTACTTCAATTTTTATTTTATTTTCTAACCCTAACTCGTTGCTCACCCTGCTCTGCCTCTACGTTGCGCCTCCTCCCTCATTCTCACTCTCTCCTCGCCTCTGCCTCTGCACTGCGGCATCTCCCTTGCTTCCTCACTCTCAGGCGACGCCCAACAAAGGCTTGCTACATCAGCCACCGCAAATCTCCGGTAAGTTTTTTTTGCATATTTAATTATTCTTTATTCTTTTGTTCTTGTTTGAAATTCCGAATTATGGTGTATTGGTGTTCATGTTCAGTGTTCTTGTTTAATTTATATACATAATTCGAATTTATATATGTTTAATTTTATTTATATACATAATTCGAATTTATATATGTTTAATTCGTATAAGATATACATAATTCGAATTTATATATGTTTAATTCGAATAAGATATACATAATTCGAATTTATATATGTTTAATTTTTGGAAGTATGCTTAAATTTATATATGTTTAATTTAATTTATGTGGGTCGAATTTTTGTTCATTTTGGCCGAATTTTATTTATGTTCAGAATATATATTCGAATTTATATACGTATTCGAATTTATATATGTTTAATTTTATTTATGTGGGTAAGCTCTTATGTTTAATTTTATTTATATATGTTTAATTTTGGGTGTTAAGCAGGTTTGATGATTAGGGTTTATTGTTTTTGAATTTATGAACTTGAATTTGTGTTGGGGGTAATTGTGGAAGTTTGATTTTCTGAATTGGGTTTTAATTTGCAGGTTTCGATTGCTTCTGGTGGTGCTTCTAGAGAGAAAACTCAGGTTAGGGAATCAATTCAGGGTTTTGTGATGAATTTGAAATTAGGGATTGGTTTGTCTTGATCTATTAATGTTAGTTGAATTTGAAATGGAATTATTCAATTGAGACTTGTTTGAGCATGCAATTCACAATTTTTCCTGTCTTGGATGGTTAATTGTGTGAATTTGCCGTGTTTTTGGATCATTAATTTTGATTTATTAGTTTGATTCTTATTGTTACCTGCTTTAAAGATACAAGATTATCTACATTCTGCTCCTATAAGTTGATTGTTTGATTTATTTTTGTTTCGAAATGAGAGTAGGCTCACATAAGGGAGCTGGAAGAGGAAGTGAAGCTGCTTAGGAATCTATCACACACAAATATAGTTGCAAGTATTTTATCTTTTCATGTACCAAAATACGATCCGATATTGCTGGATTCTGAGCTTAATTTTCATGCTAGAGATATTTGGGGACTGCAAGAGAGGAGGAGGCTTTAAATATCTTATTGGAATTGGTTCCGGGTGGATCCATTTCCTCACTTCTTGGCAAGTTTGGATCATTTTCGGGTTAATCTTAAGAGACTTTATGTAATGTTATGAGTTTTCGTGGACTCATTTGTATTTTTGGTGGACTCATTTGTATTTTTGGTGTTTGGAAATTGGAACTTTAGAGACATTATGTAGTTTTGTGATTGATAATTTTGGTTTGTATGTAATTATTAAATTATGCAACAGGTCTAAAAATCACAAAACAAGTCCATATGCAGGTCCAACAGGTTATTTATAAAAAAAATATGAAAAAACCACAAAACAGGTCCATTCAGGTCCAAACCCGGACCGGACCTGACGGACCTGTTAAATCAGGTCCGGTCCCCGGTCCTCAAATTTACCCAATTCAGGTCCCCGGTCCAAACAGGTCCGGTCCAGGTCCGGTCCGGTTTTGGACCGGTGTACACCCCTAACCATCGCGCTGCGACAGGCTCGTCGCGCACGATGGACCTTTTGCGCCGCGACAAAGCTGTCACGCCGTGATGTACTCCGAGTTGGATTTTGACTCTTTCTAATCCTTCGACCCTCTTTTTTCCTTTTAAATAGAGGTCGTTTCACCCCGTTTTCGTTCACAACCAATCATCAACCAATCCCCTCTCTAAAACTCTCTCTTCTCTTTTCTTGATTTCTTAGCCTAGCCTAAACACATCCCTAACACACATCCTTGATATTCTCTTCAATCACACACCATACATCCTTCACGAGCTTCGAATACTCCTAGCCAACCTCGAAGTTGCCTTTGACCTCGACGTGAAAGGTTGATAATTCTAAGGGTTTGGTCCCAAATCTAGATTTAAATTATTATTTGATTTGTTTATTTTAATCTTTCTTGAAGCTTATTAACGTATGTATTGTTTTCATAGAAAGAGATACGAGGCATCAAAGTAAGTAATTCGATTACTTAATTATTCCTTTGATATATTAGGATGTTGATTTGATTCCTAGTATCATGTTTAGGGTGTCAACTATTATTTCTAATATCATCTTGATTCCTAGTATCATGTTTAGGCCAAAGCTTTTATCTTTATTATTAGCGACATTCTAGGATTTGTTATAAATCTGTTTAGTATCATGCTTAGGATCTTGTTAATCGTGTTTTGATATTATGATGATGATTGTTGTGTCAATTATATGTTGCTTGATTATTCATGATTGATTGTTATTTCTTGAGCACGCTCTTCTTGCAGGCTTAAAGGGAATTTGTAATTGAAATCAGGCCTAATAAGATACTTAATAATTTGAATTTAGGTTAATATGATTTTAATTCAAGTGATCACCAATGATAGATTTATTTGTGCATTAATAATCAACCAACGTAGATCAAATATGCTTAAGATTAATTTGATGTATGTATGTTGATCGAAAAGCGCACATGAATATCATAAGAATTAAGTAGAGGCCGATTAAGGGCGAGTTCAATCTCTTTTAGGTTTGATTCGTACCATCATCCCTGAACATCCAGTCATGGTTTAGGATCACTATGGAGTTAGCGATCTCCGTGATCGAGAATGGGGTGTAACCTTCACACCCATGTACGGTTTACAAGTTCCTATAACTTGTTGGCGACTCTTTTATCTCTAGCTTCCTTCCTTTTGGACGCCACCATGCCTAAAAGCATGATCATAGTGGGGCTCAAAGTTGAGTTTGAAAAATTCCCTACAAGAATAAATTAGGCAAGATATCAAAACATCTAGATTAGATCGAGTGACGTTTGCTTGAGCCAAGAGTGATCATCTCAAGGTTATGAAATTGGAATTTCATAATCAACTCCACAAAGAATATAGCATGTCTTGAAGGAGACCTTGAAACCATTTAAAAATGACTCGAACGATGATGGATCACATCCCTTCCTATAATGTTCTTAAATATATGCACCAATGACTATTGTTACACTAAACAAAATTGTCGAAGCTAAGAAAGGACACCATGTTCAGTTATAGATAGAAATAGTTTCTAACGTCTTTTCAAGTATATGTCTAGGGTTCTTAGCCTCAGTGGGAGCTCATTAGCTTAGTGGGAGCTAAGTGGCCCAAAAGGGCTAAGAAGCTCAAGTGGGTGCTAACTGTTTGTTTCGCAACGAACTCTTACCCGAAGAAAATATACATGTCTCTTTGTAAGAATTGAAGTGAGACAAGGGGCATTATTTCCACTACTAAAATGAGAACATAGTACTTGTTGCTCGAAGTGGTGTCTTTCTGGAAAGTAGCACATTTCCAAAATGACAAGTGGAGGAAAATGAACTCGATGACCATCGAGGCGAACAATAAACTAGAAATTAGAATCTTGTAAGACTTTAGAAGGACTTCATGAGAATAATTAATCAAGAATACTCAAAAGACTTTACAAGTTCCTTAAAGAGAATTCATTACTCACAAAACTTTAAAAGTATTGGAGTAAGATCAAAATAATGAAAAGGCTTTAGAAGCGCCTTGAAACTCATTGTTTGATGCAATAACCCCATATAGGTATAGAATTCACCAAAGGCTTGGATCCTATAAATTTTCTATTAAGTTAGAAAAGAACCTAACACTTACAAGTACACATTTTACTATTGGATAGTAAGGGAATAGTTTCTTGTAAGATAGCTACGACAAATCTATATTCTGAAAATGGTTAGAGGCCATAAAATCCGAAATAGACTCCATGTTTGAAAATCATGTTTGAACTTGAATAATTTGCATAAAGGGTAAAGACCCATCAATTGCAAATAAGTTTTTGAGGAGAAAACTAACAAATATGGAATTGTATATGTATACATAGCTAGATTAGTTGAAAAGGTGATATTTAAATTCACGGCGTTGATTTTAATAAAACCTATTCACTTATCGGAATGCTTAAGTCTTTTCGTGATTATTTTATCAATAATTACCCATATGAAATGTGGCAAAATAGATATCAAAAGCGCCTTCCTAAAATGAAATTTTTAAAAGAGACTATGGATATAGTATAAAGGTTTGGTGAATCTTAATAATGCTAGATTTGAATGCAAGCTCAAGAAATCCATTGGTGGATTAAGGGAAGCATGTAGGAATTGGAATTTGTTCTTCTCATAAAGTTAGTAAAAGGTTTAGCTTATTGAGATACACAGAAATTCTGTAAGATAAGAAGTTTAGTGGGAGCAAGAGTCAATTTTGTAAAGGTCCTACAAGAAATTTACGAACTCTATTGGGAAACGACTATCAAAAGCTAAATGTTTAGATTTGATAGTATTTTTTCAATAATGGACTAAGCTAAGACTAATCTTAGTACATAGTGGAAATTAATATCTATTGTATAGACTTAATGAAATGTTGGAATGAGTAAAGGAATTTACTGTATTAAACATGAATGACATGAAAAGGCTTTTGATCCATATGTATAAGACTAAGTAATTGTTTGAACCAAGTATAAGCTAGGCAAATACTAAGTCAAATAAGAAAGACTCTAGTAGAGACTTTCAATCGTATCATGTAGCAAACAGTTTAGCAAGACTTAGTGAAACTCGATAAGCTAAAAGTCACATGAATGGGATCAAATGGGAAGAATTTTACAATTAGATCCATCATGTGTGCTACGATATAGAATCGTCACATGACTTGCATGCTTAGAGCATGAGAAGTATAAAGTACCAATCGACTTGAATCTAAGTAATGGATCGTTAGACTATGATAAAAAAATCTGAGTGTTGAGTGCCATTTATGGCATTCATTTGATGTGTTTTTAGGTTGTTTTTACGTTATTTTTATAGATTTATTTCTTAATAAATTCTTAGTTTTATTCACTTTCACTTTAGTTTCCTTATCCTTTCTTATTTTGTGCTTTTGTCCACTTTTGTGTAGTGTTTCTTCTTCTTTCGTTCTCTTTTCGTGATAGTAGGTATTGTATGAGGTTCGGGTCTTGATATTCGTGGCTTAGATGCTTTTAGAGCAAGCTTATAGCATTGGGAAAACTCAAGAAGTAAGAAAGTGGCATGCTCCAAGTTCTAGCTCTTGCGGTCTTAAGATGCGCTGTCATGAAACCATGGTGTTGAACCCACCATCAAGTTCATTTAAATCTGCCATGCTTAGTGACTATCATGAAAGCATTGCGTGTGCACACAAGGAACCATTTACGAGCGCACGAAGCTACGAAGAACTTGAAGAAACCTAGAAGAGCGCGGTCGTAGAGCCCACATGCGCAGGCGAGCATCATAGCCGCGTGGGCGCGTCTCTCTGCTTACCGGATTGTTTCGAATTCATTTTTCCCGCCTCTTACAAAAACTTATGTATCTGATTTTTGTAAGAAGTTTTTTTATACATTATTTTCCTAATAATTTTAGCTTAGTTGAGAGTTTCTCTCTCTAATTTTAGATTTAGTTTTAGGAGTAGATTTAGAGATAGAAAGTGAGAGATTTCAATGGTGATTTGAAAGATTGATGATACAAGGGTGACAATTATATTGAAGATCTTCTCAATTATCAATGAGCATTTCTAACTCTATCTCATCTTAATGCTTTGATTTATTTCATGTTTGTTTGATTTGGTTTTGATAATTGAATCTTGATTAGTGCAGTTGTTCTTCATATTTGTTGATTCTTGATTTCATTACTTGCTTGTTGATTAGATGATGATTCTTGAGTAGTTGTTTTGCTAGGGTTTAAGTGAAACTTGTATGATTGATTGATTGTGATTAATTATAGAATTATGTTGATTGATTGTTGAGATTAAAGTGATTAATGTAAGTTGCATGTGTCTAGTTTGATTAGACTTTGAGAACTATGCTAAATTGCATTGTGATTCCTAATGACATGACCACTTTATTTAGGATTAGCAATTGTTGATTGTTTTTGATTGTGATTCTCCTAGTTTGTTATTCATAAAGGAAACCTAGTTTAACGATTAGGAGATAGATCTTGATTCCAATTGATAGCTCTTATCATTAGTCTTCCCAACCATTGATTGGCATGACCTTACCAAGTCTTGCAATTATCATGGTTACTTGTTGATCCCCATTCCCTAGTGTTTCATTTGTTTGCTTATTTATTTTGGTAGTTGATTAGTATTGGTTACTCTAT